ACTATTGAATAGGAACATTAACTACCACTACTTTTATTATGATCCCTAGATGATACATGAATATTACATTATACCTAATGACCTCGTAAAAAAGATACTAAGTACACCAGGCAATGTGCACGTACGTTGTACGTTTTTCATCTTAATCTCTAGCCATGACTTATATACTACATTCACGCTTAATTGTATTCGCTAGCGAGTTATTTATCTGTTTATTCCCTACAATCTTTGATGTGTTTTGACAGTATCCATAAAGTATATTACGATTGGCTATAAATCTTACTCGAGCGAATCCATTTTGAATTATAGCAGATATGTTCATAATTTGAATATTTCTGGATAAAGTGTCAATGTTATTTTATCGAACAGTACGTACATATATTTGTTTATTACTATTTCTACTAAAAATAAGTAACCTTTTATTTGTTTTTGTAGCTAAAGTGTAATATTTAGTTTTTTTGTCAGTTTCAATTCGCAACTTCGTCATTATTACCATACACACTACTACACTACACTCAAAATGATATTTTACATGTTCATAAATATTTATACGACCAATTTAATTATGATTGATTAAGGCATCAAGCATCAATTGATTCATTTATTTAATTGTACACTAACCTGAAGGTTTTTGTTGCAGGAATAAATCACTTTGCGCATTAATAATTTTAATTCGAATAACGAATATTTGTCAAGTTGAAATTTTCTTATTGTTAAAAATATATTTAAAGGCTACGAATTTGTTAACCTGACATTAAAAATTTGTGTGTAAGTCTCATTAATATCTATAAGTGAGGATTGAGCGTCTTAACATTTCTCAAATTTTCACATTTATATGTAAATGGGAGATTCAAATGACCATTAAATGTTGGCCATAATCTACTCGGGATATTCGCAGGGTTAAATTGTAAAAGTCCGTGAACCGTGAAAGGATGTTCCGTTGGTGTTCCACTTTACCTTCTAATATTGTCAAGTTTAGACTGACAATGCTCACGGGCCACATCTGAAGACACTAGCGTCGCATTTATATTTACAACGCTACGTAAAAACGTAGGTTTAAAATGAATTTTCTTTTATTGTCAGAATGTTTTTGTATATTTTTGTTAAACTAAATTCTGTCCGTTATTTCTTCCATCTGACCATGATTAGCATATAAATTTCATAACGTTTGATTCAGCCGTTAAAATGTAACATAGTTAGTTGATGTCACATAACATAGTTACATTACTTAGAGTGCATTGTAATATATAAAAGTCTACCGTTATCGAGTGTAAAAAAGTCAGCAACATCGGTCCAGAATTTGTGTACATTACATACATCAGATATTATAATACCGTAATCTACAAAGAAAAAATATATATTTAGAAGAAGGAGGTCCTCTTTTTGGGATAAATTGATAGAATGAAGTAATATTCATAGAACTAGTCTATTCTGTGATAATTTCCATGTGATTTAATCTTAAAGAAGATTATAAATCTTTAAGAAGATTAAGAAAGTAGGTTGTACTTCTACATATGGTGATCCCATTGTACGAAATGTATTTTATTGGGATTGAATTTAATTGATAATGTTAAACTCAATATTAAACTTATTATTAAATTTCGTATTTATAATTCTAGTTATTTACCCTATACTAATATTGATTTATGAATTGCTTTGTCTTCAAATTTACTTTCAAATATGTTGTAATAATTTGTAGATCCTTTGCCACGAACCCGATTTTGAGCATATTGCTTTATGTAAACAACTACATTGAACTACCACAGGAGGGATCGGTATTCAATAGGAAACGCTTATGTAGCTATTATTGGTTCGAAGCAATTTAAATCCACAGATTATGTATTGCCTTATAACTTTATTAGTAAATTCTCTATACATATTTAATGTTGAGATTAATAACGTTTAAATATATTTCTTGTATTTCAATTATTTTTGACAGAATAAAATTAGAAATGTATGAATATATGTAATATACTATGTTTTTATTAGTGACAAGAATTGAATACAGTGAGAAAAAAATCATAATTATGAATAAAGTACAACCTAAGTAGTTAATGTAGCGATTTAAGACTGTCTAAACTTTGATAATCATGTGGACAATCCCCATGAAGCGAAGGTATCTGTTGTATCTGATGAATGAGAGGTATTGAGGATAAATATGGAGATAATGCAACTAGTAGCCAGCTATATATAATAGATTGTTACAAAAGAGAATATGTCAAAAAAATATATATATAAAAATTAAAAATTATACAAAATCCATCAAGGAGATCGCTACACCACACATCTACAAATATTTTACGAGTACTATACAAATGTAAGTATAAATGACTTTCAATACTTCAACATTTGGCTTGTTAGATATCGTTCTATGGTATATACATGGAAATTCATTGATATCTTTTACTTTATCTAAATTTATTATAAAATCTAATTTTTAGTACTTATAACTTAACTATATCGATCTATGTAATTCGGAAGAAAGAGTGCCTAGATATCTGCGTCTTCTATACAATAATCAATTATATTTGTCACCCTGTTAGATGCTGAGGCGAGCCTATGTTGATATTTGACAAAGATCGAATGAGTTTTGAGTGAGTAATATTTGCAAGTTATAGTTTCTAAGAAGTCTAATTCACATTTAAATATTTAATGAATTATATATGAAGAGTAAACAGCAGAAATAATCTCTATAGGGTATTTCTGAGACACAGAAGATAGATAAACCAATTTAAGGACATAGCGATCCATAATAGCTTGCCACGAAATTTCGTATACATACGAAAATATGTAGATCATTTTCTAAACTGAATTATTAAAAAATATAAAATGTTAAGAAATTGAGTGATTTACATTTATATATTTTTATTAAAAAATCATCCCTTTTATTTTTTAATAAATCGGATACAGGATCGGTTATAAAGGGTATTACAGTTATAGCAAGTCAGAAATTACATTTGTTGAACATTCATAAAACTAACCCACTAAGAAGTCACTGCAGACTAAAACATGAAATCAAATTTTTAATTTGACGTAACCACGTCGTTTTGTATCAAGGTTTCAAAAAATTTTCCCTCTAATTCTTCCAGAAATTTGTTTATTTTCATGTACATGTATTACACTAGTATATTTTATGTAATACATACAAAGTTACTTACTCGTAGTCCAATCTTTTACAATAATGTGTATATTATTACTAGACTTCGTGTTGCGGAAGACCGACCCGCACGGGAAGTTTTCGCCCTACTAAGATAAACTTTCTCTAAATAGCCGTTGGGATTTTCGTATCGACGGACATACAATTTTCTGTGTTCGATATATTTATTGCATTCTACGTATATCTTTGTAAGATTAGGTGTTATATGCAGTAATATTTATTTTTATAATTAAGATTGTCATTGTTGCGCATGGGTATTGGGAAATACTCACCATATTCTATGTACAAAGTAGTAGTTTTATTATATATCGACATATATAAAATCAAAAATCATCATCAATATGTATAAATTCATGTATTTTTTAACGTGTACGTTAAGTTTTTGTATTAATATTTTTTTCTCTTAGGTTAGCTTTTCGTTACTTTAGTTATACAGATTCAATTGAGAAGAATTAGCAAGAAACTCAACTGAATGAAGGTATTGTACATAAACTGGCTTTAAAATCATTTTTTTTAAAGTCAGTCTATTTACCTTGTAAGCTTGTATAGGTGTCTATGTTTAACATTAAATAAAGATCCCGTGCATGAACAATGATTACTAAAATGACAATCGTGCATGGCAACAGGCTTTCAAGAAAAACAATATACATATGTAGTATATATTTTTTCTTTTCAAAATCTTAGCACACTAATCGCCCTGAAATCAGTTCAGCCATTTCTAAGATTAGCGCGTACGAACGCTTATACGAAAATTGTAACAATCACAATTTCTATTTTCAAGTTCTATTTCATTGACAATATCCCTCAATAATAATTTTTATCGTTCATATTTTATCATATATATATATATATATATATATATATATTATGTTTAATATGTATGTATTTACAAAAAAAATGTCTGTCTAGTACCCATTACACAAGTCTGCTTACCTTGGGACTAGATCGCGCTGTGTGAATTGGTCTGATATATTATATTATTACTATTATTATATATGATTATGCCAGATAATTCCGATATTGCATATTCATGAACGTTCTAGAATAGTGTTCTATAATTAGTTAATTAGTGGAACGCTAATTTTAGAAGCTGCATACGAATTAATTAACCACCAACCAATGTATTACCGTACCGCAATCAATGAAGACCAAATTACCAATTAGTACCAATAAGTGCATAGCAATCAATTGTTGGGTGTACAAGTGTAAACTAGTACAATTGGCACTAGACTCTAAATATTCCCGGATAACCGGAGCCCGGTGTTCATATTCAGTTTCAGAGAGACAGAAGCGCGGGCGGCCGTGTCGCTAGGCGCGGCGGAAAACAACCGGGAAATATTCGAAACTATTTTATTCTTCTATTGTATGCCTTGGTAAATTATTTCATATCATTTGGTTTTTATGTTAGGTTTAAATTGATAATCAATTTAAATTTTGTTACTTATACGTGCCTATGTTATATTGTTTTATAATGTTGTTGTTTAACATACATATTCATAGCTATTTATTACTAAAATAAATATTACATTAAAAAGTAAATATTGAATTACATAACTTGTATAACTGAATTATTGTAATATTTTTTATTTTTTTATTATTATTTCAAATATACGTTAATTTCGGTCTTTCTTTATAAAATAGTTTCGACTGAAGTGCATATAAGCGGAATGTGCTATGGGTAATAAACCCAAATAATAATGTGTCAAGTACAGTCGTAAAAATAAATTGCTGAGTGGCATGCAAAGTTCTAAAAACAATGGCAGTTGCAAAGACGAATAACTTTAGACTTGTTTTCATGTGAAAACTTGTACAACATTTGGACGTCGGAATATTTAAAGTTAAAGAAAGTTCCTTGTAAAAAAGTGTCAATAAGAAGAGTGTATTGTTGGGATGTCATAAATGCTGTATTCGAAATGCTTTGCTATGTAAGTATACTTTTTTTTACAATAAAAATAATTTATGATTCTATAGTACTTTTGTATTAATACTTTATCAGATATTTCGATAAAATTAAATAGATTTCTAATATTCGTTGTTTGAAATAATAGTAAAGGTTTTATTATATTGTAGTCGTAATACTTTTTTTGTACAAAATTACCTTATATTTTAATAAATTAATATGTGTAAGCAGTATAGAAATTTAAATCTGAACTGAACTCGACGCTGTTGCACAAAAACTATAGCAAAATATTTTTAATAACGACGGTAACAATTTTCAATCTCACTTTGAGTTCCTAAATATTTGAAAATGTTTCCAAACATACCTGATGTATATCATACCATAGTTACATCAATCCTGATTGCTACTTACATGTGTGAACACGTTTTTATTAATGTATGATAACGAAATGATGTACTTGTGGAAGATGATAAGATGATCATGTGATCAGGTCAGCCATAGTGGCAAAGTCACCAGGAATTTGTCAGGATAGTTTCCAGGGGAAAAAAAACAGAGAACAGGGTCTATGCAGATACATTATAACCTTCATTTTAAATGTTGAAGATTTGGCATAAACCCTAGCTTAGTCTGTGTACAGTACGGTAGAAAATATCATGTGTTAATTGAAAATATGACCCCCAGTTTTTACTCTTGATATTCGGAATAAAAATTATTTATAACTTTTTTATCTATAAACTATTGTAATAAAACATTACCTAAAGTTTAATTAAAGTTTACTACAGTACATTAGGGAAACCGCATCCCAATAGCGAAAGCAGTTTTACCGACAAATGTGCAAAAATTCTAATTGTTTTGGGCTTAACCTTAATCAAGTCCCTCAATAATATAGTTTTTCTCGTATATCGTCCGTGTATAGACAGTGATCAGTTACAATTCATTTTATGTATAGATTTATTGCAAATATCTATAATTGTAGTATTTATATCACAATGTATTACAGGATGGTCAATGATTATGAACATTCCGAAAAAAGAAATTCGAAATGAACTATCATCGAATTTTTTATATCGTTTTCGCTCGAAAACTATATCAGAAATTCGATTACATCACTTACCTTTAAACTTTAAACATTATTATTTTGTTATATAAAAAAATAATAATATTGTAATATATATTTCAGTAATATGAGAAACATCGCAGTACAAATTAAGAGATTGAACCTCATAAATCATAATATTTATTAGATGGAATTATTCATCATCAGCTGGCGTCGGATTTGAAATTAATTTAGTAACGAAGATGACGAGGTTAAGCTTCCTCGTCGTGCCCTCTCGTCAATTAAGGGTAGTTCACCCACCTACGTGCCTCCATCTCGCTCTAATCAGTCTGATGTTGCTTATAAAATAATACAACTAGATTAAACTTGTAACATATATCTTTCAGTTACTATTAACAAAAAGGGAACATTAAAATTACTGCTGCGTAACTGACACTAGAATTTCCAATTACGTGACTTCATATAGCGGATATAATGTCATGTCAATGACTGACATCTATATTATATACTAGCTTTGCCCGCAATTTCACCCCCGTTAAATTTCAATAAAAAATATAGCCTGTATGTTATTCTTATGTATAAGCTATATTACTGGTAAGTTTCATCAAAATCCGTTCAGTAGTTTTTGCGTGAATGAGTATCAAATACTATACTAATCCATACTCACAAACTTTCGCGTTATAAAAACGATATTATTAAGATATACAGAAGTGTGTATATAGCCAGTAGCCAGATATAATTATATATTTGCATTGTATCATCCAAAAATACTGTCTTTTTAGCCATCTATATGCTGAGACAAAATCTACTATTATTATTATTATAATTATACTGAACTACTTCCATTACAAACAAAAAATAAAGAAAAGGCTATATAAGAAAAAAAATATTGAAGACTAATAATCATAGTGTTTCGAGTTAATGAGACGAATTGTTTACGGGAAGATTGTAACCGCTAATAAGAATCAAATAACAAAGGTACGGGTACTAATTAAGAATAATATATACAATATATATATATATATTATGTACGATTTGGACTGTCTTTAAGATAAACTTTAGGCTCTGAACCCTTTACGAAAATGCCCCTTCATGAGAATAACAGATGCTGTAAAGAAATAAAAAAAAAACTAGGTGGTCCAATAGACGGGCGGGCGGCACTCAGCTCTTATCCGGATGGGTCCTGACCGGGTTCCGCATGGGGCCTGACTAGCCCCTTTTTTGATTCATGAATACATAACAAGTAAACAAATCAACGTTAATTTCAATAATGGCTGAACAGTTTCATTATTTATTTAAAAATTAATACAAACTTAGCGTAATACAATATGTAAAGTGAATACAAAGTATTTTGACCTTAATGATTTTATTATAGAAAACTGATAAAAGTATGCCCATAATTTTGTAGCTAAGAATCTAGAATATATAATATTCATTGCACAAAATGAATAATCGAATCATATAAATATTAGTCAATTATCCCAATTTTGTTGGCCGGAATCTCAACAGGCGTTATATCGGAAAAACACATATTTCCTTAAGGGGCTTATTCAGGAAATCCAGAAATATCACACAAAGCCACACATTGTGGTATACTTTATGATAATGACAGTAGATATTTTCTTCATTCGTAACTAGGGTCCTTTACTGTATTAAATAAATTGTCTATACCTTTTTTGTTGCGGAAATATGAATATTACGCATAAATACACTACTGATGTTACTGTTAGTGAATTAGTTACGTTAAAGAAAATGTTAGGAAAAAACAAGTAATATTAATGAATTTAATTAATAATAATCTAGTAATTATATTTTAAATTATAGTAATTAATATCATCGTTCTCTTTTTATGTAATTTCTTGTTTTTTTATAGTAGTTGTAGTATTTCTAGTAATAGCTAAATTAAAAAAAAACCGTTGAGAATAACTAATAAATAATTTTAATTCGTACTGTAAAAGTAAAATGACTCAATTAAATGTTTATAAAATGCAGGTATATATTTATTCTCAGTAGATATATTAAAAGAAATCAATAATAATAATTCAGAATTAATACCAACGCTATCAAGTTCTAAGCAGTGGTAATACAATGCTACAATGCTAGCAGTGCTAATAAAATTAGACTATGATGCCGCTGAACAAATTTTAAATAGTATTAAGTATGCCTAAAATCCCAAACAATCAATAATTTAATAAGATTGTTAACATCGTGTAATTTGAATAATTTATGGACTATGCACACATCATCAGAACAATGATGTTGAACTTTAAATTTTCTTTTTATTTTATTTTCTCTGTTTTTTTTTTGTTTCATTTTTATATAGTCAACAATTGTTTTTATGAAATTAATCTAAAAAATCTTAATTAGTCTGATATGTCAAACTCACTGATCAGTAATAGTAAATAATTAGTTGGCAATTCTTTTGTGGACTCCCGCGATACAGGTTCGCCTATTTCGGGGTCCAATGTATAATAAATTTTGTAATTTTTGTACGTTATTTGAATAAAGAATAAAGAATGATTATTAAACATCTAACACAAACACTCATATAGATTTTTTTAAATTAATCTTTAACATACGTACAAAACACGGAGTTTCAATACACAAAGTCGTACTTATAATAATACAAAAAATGTGTCGTTCGAGAATCCAACCCATGACTATTCGAAGGTAAGCGGTGTTTTAAATAGTTAGTTCACAGAGACCGTCGAAATTAAATCACGTATGTCAATCAACAAACACGGAGCAAATTTCTAAATGAGTACGTAATCAAATTATATAAGTTACAGTCGAATAATAACTTTGGTAATAGTCAAGACAACGAATAATATTACAGAAATTTCTACTAATTATCTGGTAATTATCTTTGGAACACAATTTTGTTTTATGGAAAATGAAATTCCCCCTCAATAGTACCTACGGAGTTCCTATGTACATAAGGGTTGTCACACAGTTCAGATGTGTTTGTATCGGAGCGGATATTGATGTCGCTCTTAGTACAAACAAATCTAGATTGCAAACTGCGTCTACCAATTTCAGATAACGATCAATATCGATAGATACTGTCACTGACAAACTAGATATTTATAATTGAATTACTAGGTATGTGAAGGTAAATTCAGATTGTCTTTTTGAAGATTTAAATTCATTATTGGCGGATTGAGGGGGACTGTACAGATGTAAAAAGGCGTTTGATTGAATACATATCTTACCTGTTTTAACCGTCAAGCGGCTTGCTTTGTATGCTGTTGCGATCGAAAGGTCAAGATAAGACAGGGAAATTACAGGAACTCTATTCTTGTAGTGAATTCTTAGTTTATCGGAAGTTAGAGCGGTATCACGGGCGTCACATTCTGATGAACGTAACGCAGTTCATGTGTATGTGTGACATGGAATTCAAATTAAATTTCGTAAAAAAACAACAGTAAGTCTTAAATGGTTCATTACAGATAGGTTGGTTTTTATGTTTTTGACAACCTTTACCAACTACAAATTAGAAATTAAATTAACAATCCGGTTTATTAAATACAAAGATAATTTTAATGTAAATTACGTTTCGTTTAATAATTTACAAATTTAAATACATATACACCTTATTCTGGAATAAATTAAAACCAAAATAAATACATTAAATTTATTTGACAACAAAGCTAGATAAGGGTGTGGATGTGGAAATTTTGCTGTACAAGGCTCATTTAGATTTTATTAGGCAGCGTTCATTAACATTCTTGTACAGTTATCGTCAAATTTATTCAAAGTATTTATTAATATAAAAGAAAAATAAACTGTAATTCAATATCGACAAAGTTACTTCCAAAATCTCAAACTTTCAAGAGGTAGAAACAATTGAATACTTTTTTCATTATACTCGCTTTTATTTAACTTTACTAGCCAACTGGTATTTTTGGGTAACTAGTAAGTAATATTGAATCGATTTTACATAATAACGAATTAACTAAGATTTAAAA